AAGAAACCCTGAACCCCAAACTTCCCCTAAGCTCTGGTGAGAGCCGTGGGGCAGCAACACAGGTCGCGCGTCCCGCCGACGGGAGCACTGGGCACCTGAGCGTTGAGGGCTTCAGGGCATTTAGGGTTTAGGGTTTAGGGTTTAGGGTTTAGGGTTCAGGGTTTAGGGTTTAGGGTTTAGGCTTTTTTTTTGGGGGGGGGGGGGGTGGTAGGGCTTTGGGGTGTTGGGGTTTGGTGTGTGTTAAGGTGTAGGGGCTTCAGGGTTTTAGGGTTTTTGGGCTTTGGGCGGGGGGGGGGGGGGGTTCCGAGCTTTTGGGGTTGTTGGGGTTCCCCCACCCCCCCTCACCCCACACCCTAAACCCCAAACCCCCACTTCAACCCTAAACCCCAAACCCCCACTTCAACCCTAAACCCTAAGCCCTAAACCCTAAACCCTTAACCCTAGTTTGAGCACTGCGATGCAGGCCCGAGAAGCATGCCATGCCCAGAAGCGCCCCATCGAAGGGCTCACACGACCTGTGCCAGGGGCTGAAGGGGTTTAGGGGTTTAGGGTTTAGGGTTTAGGGTTTATGGTTTGGGGTTTGGGGTTTGGGGTTTGGGGTTTGCGGTTCGGGGTTTGGGGTTTGGGATTGGGGTTTGGGGTGTTCAAGGGCATGAGGCGTTTTAGGGTTGTAGGGCTTTAGGGTTTGCTTGGCGCTTTACACGACCTGCACGGGCTTTAGGGTTTGAGGTTTAGGGTTTCGGCTTGCAGGCTTCGGGTTTAGCGTTTTAGGGTTTAGGGTTGAGGGGCTTTAGGGTTTGAGGGTGTGAGGGTTTGAGAGGTTTAGTTTAGGGTTTTGGGGTTTTGGGATGTTGGGGTTTTGGGGTTTTAGGGTTTGAGGGTTTACGGGTTTTAGGCTCTTAGGATTTTGGGGCTTTTGCATCAGGGGTTTTAGGGTTTAGGGGTTTAGGGTTTACGGCTTTTGGATTTACACTGGGTGAGGGGATTGGGGTTGGGCATTTAAAGGCCTACGGGGGCTTGCAGCGTTGAGGATTTCCGGATGTAAAGGTTCAGTGTTTGGGTCATGTCGGTTAGAGGGCTCAGGATCTAAGGCCTAAGGTCTCGGAATGTTGCCAGGGAAACTATCGACTGCAACCCACTAAGCGCCCATAGAGACCAACTAAGACACTGCTAGAAACTCCAAGCAAGCCTCAATCTCCCCAACAGCCCTCTTTGCACCCCCAAGACGGGCAGAACATCCGCCCTCTGCCCGGAAACGCGTAAACTTCAGCCCATAGACCCGTAAACTTTAGGGTTTAGGGTTTAGGGTTAGGGTTTAGGGTTTAGGGTTTAGGGTTTAGGGTTTAGGGTTTAGGGTTTAGGGTTTAGGGTTTAGGGTTTAGGGTTTAGGGTTTAGGGTTTAGGGGTTAGGGTTTAGGGTTTAGGGTTTAGGGGTTAGGGTTTAGGGTTTAGGGTTTAGGGGTGAGGGTTTAGGGTTTAGGGTTTAGGGTTTAGGGTTTAGGGTTTAGGGTTTAGGGTTTAGGGTTTAGGGTTTAGGGTTTAGGGTTTAGGGTTTAGGGTTTAGGGTTTAGGGTTTAGGGTTTAGGGTTTAGGGCACACCATGTAAACTCGATGAACCCCTGCACACCCCATAAACCTCCCATATACCCTACAACTTAACCTACACCCCATCTTAAAACACCCATAAGCCCCATAAACTCTACAACCCCTACCAAAAATCACATAAACCCTGAACCCCATAGACCATTTAAACTCTATAAACTCATAGAGCCAATAAACTGCATGTCAACCCTAAACCCTAAAACCCTAAAACCCTAAAGCACTAAAACCCTTAAACCCTAAAATCCTAAGACCCTAAAACCCTAAACCCCCAAATCCCTAAAACCCTAAAACCCCAAATCCCTAAAACCCAAAAACCCTAAAACCCTAAAGCCCTAAAACCCTAAAACCCTAAAACCCTAAAACCCTAAAACCCTAAAACCCTAAAACCCTAAAGCCCTAAAACCCTAAAACCCTAAAGCCCTAAAACCCTAAAACCCTAAAACCCTGAAACCCTAAAACCCTAAAACCCGAAAACCCTAAACCCTAAACCCTAAACGGGGCTTAGTGCACCTGGCCACCGCCGCCAGCGACTCGCGAAGATCGGCCAAAAACTCCTGGGAGCTCAGGGGGGGGTTTAGGGTTTAGGTTTTAGGGTTTAGGGTTTAGGGTTTAGGGTTTAGGGTTTAGGGTTTAGGGTTTAGGGTTTAGGGTTTTAGGGTTTCAGGGTTTAGGGTTTAGGGTTTAGGGTTTAGGGTTCAAGGTGTAGGGTTTAGGGTTTAGGGTTTCGGGTGTAGGGTTTATATAGGGTTTAGGGCTTCGGGGTCTGCCATAGAGCCATCAAGGCTTGTGATAGGGGTACTTGCGCGTAGAGGGCGCCGAGTGGCTTACGGTTAGGGCATAAACCCTAAACCCTATGACCTAAACGTGAAACCCTAAACCCGAAACCCTAAACCCTAAACCCTAAACCCTAAACCGTGCCCTAGCTTTACCCAGCAAGCCAAGGATCGGGGGAAGCCGGCGTGCAGGATTCCTTCTGCTGCCAGAGACCTTGCATCGGATATCTTTGGCCGTTAGGGTTCAGGGCTTAGCGCTTAGGCCAGGGTTTAGGGTTCTTTAGGGTTTAGGGTTTAGGGTTTAGGGTTTAGGGTTTAGGGTTTAGGGTTTAGGGTTTAGGGTTTAGGGTTTAGGGTTTAGAGTGGCAGCTTGGCAGCTGAGGAGAAGCCGCCGCAGCGTTGCAAAGCATGGCCCGTCAGGAGCAGCGTCTGGGCCGCAGGGGCTCTTGCGTTCAGGGTTTAGGGTTTAGGGTTTCGGGTTTAGGGTTTAGGGGGGTTTAGGGGTTTAGGGGTTTAGGGGTTTTGGGTTTAGGGTTTAGGGTTTAGGGGTTAGGGGTTTAGGGTTTAGGGGTTTAGGGGTTTAGGGGTTAGGGGTTTAGGGGGTTTTTAGGGGTTAGGGGTTTAGGGGTTTAGGGGTTTAGGGGGGGTTTAGGGGTTTTAGGGGTTTAGGGGTTAGGGTTTAGGGGTTTAGGGGTTTTAGGGGGTTTTGGGGTTTTGGGGTTTTGGGGTTTTGGGGTTTTGGGGTTTTGGGGTTTTTGGGGTTTTGGGTTTTGGGGTTTTGGGGTTTTGGGGTTTTGGAGTTTTGGGGTTTTGGGGTTTTGGGGTTTTGGGGTTTTGGGGTTTTGGGGTTTTTGGGGTTTTGGGGTTTTGGGGTTTTGGGGTTTTGGGGTTTTGGGGTTTTGGGGTTTTGGGGTTTTGGGGTTTTGGGGTTTTGGGGGTTTAGGGTTGGACATTCCTCTCAATCCCATAAGCCTCCAGCAAGAAGTATTGAACAAGAAGTCGATAAGCCCTGCACATCTCAATCTTGTAAGCCAGACACCATAAACCCCAAACCCCAAACCCTAAACCCTAAACCCCTAATACCGAAACCCCAAGCCCTAAACCCTAAACCCTAAACCCTAAACCCTAAACCCCTTCTACAGCCTGCCGCCCAGATCCCGCCCACGAGGCCTTCGGCGACCTTCGGGGCCCTTCGCACGCGCCCCACAGGCTGGGGCTTCGGCGCCATTGGGTTTAGGGTTTAGGGTTTAGGGTTTAGGGTTTAAGGTTTAGGGTTTAGGGTTTAGGGCTTAGGGTTTAGGGCTGAGGGTTTGGGGCTTCGGGCTTAGGAACTGGAGGTTTTTGGCTTGGGGGCTATGTTTGTGCTCAGGTGGTAGAGATCGTTTTGGGGTTTAGGGGTTGGGAGGCAGGTTTCGGGGGCAAGTGGGAGCGATGCAGTAGGTAGTTGGGTGCATAGAGGAAACTCCCTGGGCTTAGGGTTTAGGGTTTAGGGCTCTGGGCTTAGCTGCAACATCTTGCAAAAAAATGCGGGCAGGCATGAAGAACTTGTCGGCGCAGGCGCATGCCCGTGGCTGCTCGGCTTCATCATCGTCAGGGTCCCTCCACTCATTCAATTTCATGCCCTGTGAGCAACAGCTTACCATCCAAACCCTAAGGCCTACACCCTAAACCCTAAACCCTGAACCCTAACCCTAAGCCCTAAACCCAAAATCCTTGACCCTGAACCCTAAACCCTAAGCCCTAAACCTTAAGTGTTTGTCGCTACACCCAGGTTGTGGCGCACCGAATGTGAAGGCACATCCCATCTCGCACGGTCCAGGATTTCCAGATGTACCTCTTGAGCAGTCTGGGCTGAGTAGGGTTTAGGGTGCTTAGGGCTTCGGGCTTAGGGCTTCGGGCTTAGGGCTTAGGGCTTGGGGCTTAGGGCTTAGGGCTTAGGGCTTAGGGCTTAGGGCTTAGGGCTTAGGGCTTAGGGCTTAGGGCTTAGGGCTTAGGGCTTAGGGCTTAGGGCTTAGGGCTTAGGGTATTGCGGGGAGTTTGAGGATGTTGTGCTTGGGTGTAGGCTGTAGTGTATGAACCCAATGACCCTCCTTTGTAGGAGTGGAACCCCTCCCCCCGACTTCAGGGGAGCACGGCGTCTTCCGCAACGTGCCATCGCCCGAGCAGGGCCTTGGCAGCATCAGGGCGGAGGACATCCTTCCCCCTAAACCCAAGACCCCGAACTCTAAACCCTAAAACTCGAAACCCTAAAACCCGAAGCCCCAAACCCGAAACCCTAAACCCGAAATGCCCTAAACCCAACAAAAAGTAAAAACGCTAAGAATTGCGTCAGCCGTTCGTGATACCTGGGTTCTGAAAACTTCTCGCAAAACCCCAACCCCTAAACCCCTAAAGCCAACCAACACTCATGGCAGTCAACACTCATGGCAGTCTGCTGGGCTTCTGGACGAAAATGGGAAGTCCACCCCAAACATTCCCTGCTGGGGTTTAGGGTTAGGGTTTTGGGTTAGTTTAGGGTTTAGGGATCGGATCGGACTGCGTCAAAGTTCAGTGAACGTCGGGATTGGCGCTTACAGGCCAAAAGCAAAAACATGCAGCTTTGGTATTAATTAGAAAGGAAGCGTCCTAGCCCTGACCTGTATGGATCTGTTCAGTGGCCTGAACCAGGCGCTCCAGCACATGTTGCTGTGCCTCCGACAGGCTTTGAAAGAAAACAGCCTGCGTGGCAGGGCTGGCTGTGAGATACTCGTCCAGGGTCACCCGCAGCCTAAAAGGCCAAGCATGTGTGCTATCATGAGCTATGTCGAGCACTATGCTTAGGAGGTCTGGGGAAATCTGCATGTCGGGGGGCACTTCCCTGCGCAAGGGTCCATGCACCCTGACTGCTGGCAGGCGGTCCTGTGCGTGAATGCCACCTGAGGCAGTGGCCTTTATGGCTCTGGCTCGCTCTCGCTGTCTTAGGTCTGCAAGGGGCTGTGCCCGGGCACGTGTCAGAAGTTGCCACCCGCAGGTTTTGGAATCATGCGTGACATGTCGTATGAGTCTCCTGCGGGCCCAGAACTGCGTAAGGCACACTGTACAGAGACTGGCGCCGACATAGCTTTCTAGCAAAGGTCGTTGGCCATGCTTAGCAAGCCTGTGAGCCCGCACCTGCTGTCGCGTAGAGAAGGCGGCTGGACATTTCTCACAAGCGAAAGGATGCTCTAGCTCGACTCTGCTTGCTTCGCTGGGGGCTGGACTTGGGCCGGGGACGGCTTTCTTACTTTGCAGGCTGCGTTGGTATTCATGCCAATTGTGCTCCCCGACTTTGCGCATGCCTCGCCGGATTTGGTGATGAAGCTGGCGTAGGCTGTGAGCATTGTCTGCTCCGGCTTCGAAGACCTCTGCCGGCAGTCTAGGAGTGGCTTCGCGGTCGAAAAGCCCCTGAAGCCACGCAAGATCGCGTTGTACTAGGTGCAGCCAGGCATCGGCGGTGCAGGCGGCCTCTACTTGAAGAAGATGCCAAAGGTCCTCATGCTGCCCTCTACTGATCTGCACTAGGTGCCTGAGCCTAGCGGCAGACAAGCATTGTTCCGCGTTGGGGTGCCCAGTGGCGCCGAAGACATCTGCAGACGCCGCCCAGGTGCTGTCCCCGGTGTAACGGTCTTCTGGCAGGAGTTTGCGCAGCACGCGTGCAAGTCCATGGTGCCATACATGTGACTCGCGCCTACTGAGTTTCCCCCAAACCTCAGCACCGTGCACAGCACGACTAACAGCGAGGCTTTGCATGAGAAGGCTGCGCGTAGCGAAAGGGGCTTTGTCGTTACGGAAGACTTTCTTCGTCAGCGGTCCAGCGGAAGCCTGCGCCGCTGCAAGGTTTTGCCGGATGTCAGGCAGCGCCGCGCCCGTCTCTGAGATAACATTGCCGAGATGTTTGTAGCTGGTCACGCAACGAAGGAGGTGACGCCCATCCCCACCGGTAAACTCGATGGTGCCTTCCCCAGTTCGGAAGAGGCTGCGCTTGAGTTTTTTGGATCCTGGTCCCGTAGGGCATACCAAAACCTCCGTCTTGCCGGCAGCGTAGTTCGGTGCCATTGCCCTGCGGGTGCAGCTGTCGTGCAGTACGGTAGCCGCCTGTTGCACAGTGTTGACGACTTCCTCGCAAGAGTCGCAGGTCAGCGGTAGAGCAACGTCGTCGGCCCACGTCGGCAGCGGGCACGGCTGCCCGTTTAAGTTGAGGTGCTCTTGTACTTCGCGCAGCATGTCCGCAGCAGCAAGCGCAAAGAGGGCATCTGCTATTGCGTCGCCCGGCCTTGAGCCGGCGTGTGTACGGACAAGTCCTTCAAGGCCGTCTTGTACGAAGTACGTTCCGCTGAGCATGACTCTGACGTAGCGGCGTAGGTGCTCCGGGGCCTGCTCCAGCAGGTCAGTGTTGCGAGCATACTGCTGAACCTGGTGCATAAGTGTAGCGGGCACCTGCAGGCGCCCAAGTATCCAGGCAACGTGTTGGTCTGTGGGGCTTTCGGCGCCGTCAGCAGCTGTCGGCCACATAGACTCTCGCAGCAATCTGTAGTACGCGGCGCTGAGGTCAAGGAAGATCGTAGCGCAGGGTGCGCCCCTGGCTTTGGAGATCCTTCCCCACGTGGCAACGTAATGGTGAAGGGAGTTTGAGGACGACCCTCTGACGCAGCCCTGTTGCAACGGCTGGGCAGTGTGTCCTAGTTGCTGGCACAAAGCAGGGCGCAGCAGCCGGTGGTGCATCTTCGCCGCGGGGTCAAAGAGCGCGATGCTTCTGTAGTTCAGAGGGTCAGTTGGCGTGCCTTTCTGCTTGAAAAAAGCAACGAGTTGACAGCCCCGATACTGTATGGGCTCGGTGAGCCGGATATGGGCTTTCATAAAAATGGGCAGCAGTGTTTTGGCGGCTCCTGTCGGGCAGGATTTCCACACGGCTGCAGTAATTCCAGAGGGCCCTGGAGCCTTGCCATCTTTGGCCTCGCGCACAACTTGCTCTACTTGGAAGAGAGTTGGGAGGTCTGTCAGACGGTACCTAGCACTGGGCTCCACTCTACTGGGGGCGTCTTGGCTGCAGTACTCCGCAGGGGTGAGGATGGTCCCAGCTTCCTGCTGCGCAAACACATCCCTGTGCGCCTGCTGTTTTTCGGCAAATGTTTCAGCGTGCTTGCCAGTAGGGAGCATGACAGTAAGCGGCTGTCCAAAGGACTTGTGGACCTTTTTGCCTGCAGGCCGGTATATCTTGAGTGCGTGGTAAAGCTGCTGCGATGCGCCTTTGTTAGCAGCTTCCTGGAACTTGGCAACAAGGACCTCCAAGTGGTCCAGCCTGTCTTGTTTCAGAGAAGCTCGTAGCATGAGGCTTGCTACACTAGTGTCACGTATGGCAGTGGCATGACGGCGGTGTAAGGCGCATTGCCTGTCGCGCCATTCCTGTACCTTCCGAATGAACTCCGCACTGATGTGTCCAAGTTTCCAAGCCCTCCAGCAAATGAGTTGCCGGAGACGTTGGATACCATTGTGGGCGGCCTTGATCCTATGACGGGCCTCCCTGCGGTACCTCACCAGGTTCCAGGTGTGCTGAGAGATGTGCGCCTTTCTGTGTTGCTTTGGTCCCTGACTTCGGCAGCTGCTACGAAGCATGTCGTCAACTCTGGCAACGTGGTCATGTATGTTGGTACTCCAGGGCACTTGGCTGGCAGTCTGCAGCGCCGCAGGGATTGGCGCCTCTGCTTGTTGTGTGTCGGAAACACGTAGCAGAGGGATCCGGGCATGAGCGCGACTGGGCTTGGAAATGGCGCCAGCTTGGAGGGTGATCTTCAGGGACGTTGCGGTGTGGTCTTCCCCCTCCCTGAGACTGAAGTCAGGGTGCATACGTATCTCGCTGCAGTGACTGAGCCAGTCCTGCGGCACGAGTACATAGTCGATGCGGTGCGTGTCACCGTGGCTGGAAGCCCATGTGTGCACGTCAGTGTCGGGCTCGACGCACTGTCCCTTAATGCCCTGGAAGGTAGTGGGGGCGCATAAGGCATTCACGTGGCAGAAGTTTCGCAGGCAGGCTCCCGCAAAATTTTCGGCTTCGCTCGCGTGTGGACCGACGGCCTGTGATGTGGTGGCGCCAACTCTTGCATTAGCATCGATGCAACATATGAGTGGTAGTCCTGTACCGACATAGGGATTCAGCTTGTTGGTGAGGTCGTCCCACCAGGCGGCAATCTCTTCAGCAGGCTTGCCTGTGTGGGGCGCATGTGCGGAGAGGATGTAGCCCGTCCATTTGTCGGTGCACAGCCTGATCAACAGGTGCCTGTCTGTGCTAATTAGGACGGTAGCATCCTTGATCTGGACTGGCCCGATCTGTGCGTCTTTGGCAATCCAGATCGCGCAGCCGCCCTCGCCTCTTGGTGTGGCCGCGCTACTCACAGTGATGTGCGTCTTGCCCTGGCCGAGTGACGCCGTTCGGTACCTGGTCTCTTGCAGTCCAAGCACCGCAACGCCGTCTCGCCTCATAAGGGCTTGGAGGAGTGGCCCTCGGTCACGCATGGACTGCACGTTGTAAGTGGCTACTCTGAGCTGTAGGGGCTGCGTTCTGGCTGTAGTGCTGCTTCTGGGAACAGGCAGGTGCGCAGGCGCAGCAGCTTCTCGCTCTTCGTACTCACCTTTTAGGAGTTCCTGCAGTGAGGGAATGGCAGACGTCTGGGCTTGTAGTCTCCACGCCCAGGGGAGGAGCTCATGTTCCAGGAGTGCGAGCACGGCTTTGGGTAGGGCTGTACATGCCCCAGTGCTTCTGGCGTGGTTGGCTAGCGCGTCGGCGGATTCGTTGTAGATCTGGCCTACGTGTCCTTTGGTCCATTGCACTTGGACAGGGGAGGTCCTGGCTTCATGGATCTGCATGACTTGTCGGATGCTGGGGCAGAGGCGCCTCTGTTTCTCCTTGGCGTCAGGAGGTGAACTGGCGCCGTTCGCAGCGGTGGCAATGACCTCACAGTCGGTCCAGATGGTAACATGGATGCGTATGTCAAGCCCAAGCGTCCAGAGCAGCGCAAGGAGTACTGGGATTCCCTCGGCGTCGATGTTTGAGAGATGGTTGTCTCTACAGAGGCCTATGTCGGCTATGGCCTTCACAGTACCGTATGCACAGGCGGCGTATTGCTTTTCCTCACCAAACTGTACTCCGTCAACGAGGATTATTGCCCAGCCTGGACAGTGCGAATCCTTGTGCGAGCCGTCTGTGTAGATGTCAAGCGCACGGAGACAGGCTGGAAAGAAGGGGAGGGGGCCCTGAAGTTGGCTGCGGGATCCGCATGGAAGGTCGCACGGGGGCTGCCGTCTCCAGAAGTCAGTCCATGCTTCTTTGCAGCCTGCGAGCGCAGACTCTAGCCCGGCGAGACTCGCATAGGGATCTTGGCTTGGGCCGCAGGGCTGCCTTGCTGCGGTTGTTGCTTTGCTTTTGTCGGCTCCGGTCTTGGGCGGCGCTTGCTGTTGGTTGTGTTCGAAGAGAGTGTCGAGCAGGGTTGCAGCAAGGAAGAAAGCTCTCAGCTTCTGTTCCGGCGGCAGGCTGTTTAGAAGCGTATCTTCCTTACGGGTGGACTGCTTTGGGGAGTTGCTGTCGGCGTGCTGGTTGCTGCCGCGAGGGGGTCTGGGGTTAGCAGAGGCATTTCCACTGTTGCTTGTTCTTGTTGCGCTGACATGGAGTCTGTCTTGGGGCGAGGTGTGTTCTGTTTCAGTCCAGCAGATCGCGGCGGGGCGGCTGTGGCTTCTACTGGGCGTCGGTATGGGCCTTGTCTGGCTGACTGAAGTTGCGGCATAAGTGTGGGAGGGGTCCGGTACGGAAAAGGCGCCGCTCGGCTGCATGCTTTGCGCTGGCGTGAAAAGGCAAGCAACAGCTAGGAGTTTGGCCCAGAAAGGTATGTTGGAGCTGCTGGGAGGCGATCTGGCAGGGCTGTTGGCAGGTTGCCCATTCCTACTACGCTGACGTTGCTCAGGCGGACTGCAGTGTGGTTGTGTGCAGCGCAGGGCTGCCCACAGGTATGCATGAGGTCCGCTTATGCATCTTCCTACACGGATTAGCGGATCTGCGTTTCTTTCGCCCCCTTGTAGTTGCAGCCCCCACAGAAGCAAAGAGAAAAGCGCAGCGGTAATGTAGGCTAACCATGAATGGAGCAGTCCGCTCGTCTGCGTCTGCAGGTAATGCAGCAGTAGGTCCGCAGGAGCGGTGAACGTGACAGGTGCGTTGCAGTGTTGCGCACTGCGGCAAAGGGCTGGCGCAAGCTGCCGCGGTGATGGGTCCTCATCTCTGGCGTTGCGGCGGTGAGTAGAGGCTGCTCCACTGTGGGCTTCTGCGCAGTGTGTAAGGGGCAGCGGGGCGCTTGGCGAAGTGTCTAGTCTGGGTCTGGGTACGGCATAGCCTGAATCTGTGGTGGCCTGACATGGAAGGGAGAGGACAATGCTCAGCGTCTCACGCGCGAGCTGCGACTGGGCTTCCTGTCGACCATGGTTGAGCTGCGACTGGGGCGCTGCTGCGCTTGGCTTGGTGTCTAGTCCAGATGAGGCATAGCCTAAACCAGTGGTGGCTTGACGTGGAAGGGAGAGGACAGTGCTCTGCGTCTCATGCGCGAGCTGCGACTGGGCTTCCTGTCTACCAATTCGACATGCAGAAGTGGTGCCTAGAGGGCGCGTGCTGCGGCGCGCAGGAAGGACATTGCTCAAAGTCGCGGGAGTGAGCTGCGGCAAGGACGCTATGGCGGCTGCCCTGGCAGAACATTGGTTTACGTAGGCTGTGCCACTGCCTAGGTGACCATCCTGTTGGTGCGTGGACGGCGGGACGCATGTTGTACTGTCCGGTGCAGATGAGATACGGCCTGAATCAGGAGCGGCCTGACAGGGAAGGAAGAGGACGTTGCTCAGCGTCTCATGCGCGAGCTGCGACTGGGCTTCCTGTCGGCCTTGGAAGCTCTTAGCGTCAAGACCTAGGTGGACGTTGCTCAGCGTCTCATGCGCGAGCTGCGACCGGGAGGGAAAGTAAGGGCTGAACGCCGGGTCTTGCTGGTAGAGGATGAAGTGGTCGGCATGTTCAGAGCGCACTGTTTGCGGATGGTGCTGTCGCGTGCTGCGTTGTGCCACACGGACATTGCTCAACGTCTCACGCGCGAGCTGCGACAGGGGCATTGTGGCATCTTCCTCAGCGCGACAGTTGTTCGGAGGAGGTGTTCCGCTGTTTTTGCCTGCGCTGTTGCAGCCGTTGCAGTGTTGCGCGCTGTAGCCGGAGTTGTTTCTAGCGCTGTATGTGTACGCGGGTTCTGTGGCGCACAGTGCAATGTCCAGTCTGGATGATGTGTTTCCTGAACCTGGAGCGGCCTGACATGGAGGGGAGAGGACAAGGCTCAGCGTCTCACGCGCGAGCTGCGACCGGGCTTCCTGTCGACCGTGGTTGTACGCTAGAGTGGTGCCGGGAGGGCGAGTGCTGTGGCGCGCAAGAGGGACAGTGCTCAGCGTCACGGGCGCGAGCTGCGACTGGGGCGCAGTGTCGCTTGGCCTAGTGTCTAGTTCAGATAAGGCATAGCCTAGACCAATGGTGGCTTGACGTGGAAGGGAGAGGATAAAGCTCTGCGTCTCACGCGCGAGCTGCGACTGGGCTTCCCGTCTACCATATCTACACGCAAGAGTGGTGCCAGGAGGGCGCATGCTGCGGTGCGCAGGAGGGACATGGCTCAAAGTCGCGGGTGTGGGCTGTGACATGGACGCTATGGCTGCTGCCCTGGCGGAACTGGGGTTTATGTAGGCTGTGCCACTGCCTATGTGACCACCTTGTTGGTGCGTGGATGGTGGAACGCATGTTGCACTGTCCGGTTCGGGTGGGATACGGCCTGAATTTAGAGGGGCCTGACAAGGAAGGGAAAGGACGTTGCTCAGCTTCTCATGCGCGAGCTGCGACTGGGCTTCCTGTCGGCCTTGAAAGGTCTTAGCGTCTAGACCTAGGTGGACGTTGCTCAGCGTCTCACGCGCGAGCTGCGACCAGGAGGGAAAGTTAGGGCTGAACGACGGGTCTTGCCGGTAGAGGATGAAATGATCGGCGTGTTCAGAGCGCACTGTTTGCGGGTGATACTGTCGCGTGTTGCGTTGTGCCACACGGGCGTTGCTCAGCGTCTCAGGCGTGAGCTGCGACAGGGGCATTGTGGCATCTTCTTCTTCAGCGCGACAGCTGTTCGGAGGAGGTGTTCCGCTGTTTTTGCCTGCACTGTTGCAGCGTTGTGCGCTGTAGCCGGTGTTGTTTCTTGCGCTGTGTGTGCAGGTGGGTAGTGTTTCACACGGTGTGGTGTCCAGTCTGGAGGATGTGTTTCCTGAACCTGGAGCGGCCTGACATGGAAAGGAGAGGACAATGCTCAGCGTCTCACGCGCGTGCTGCAACTGGGCTTCCTGTTGACCGTGGTTATATGCCGGAGCGGTGCCGGGAGGGCGGGTGTTGTGGCACACAGGAGGGACATTGCTCAGCGTCACGGGCGCGAGCTGCGACTGGGGCGCTGCATCGCTTGGCTTAATGTCTAGTCCAGTTGAGACAAAGCTTAAACCAGTGGTGGCTTGACGTGGAAGGGAGGGGACAATGCTCTGCGTCTCATGCGCGAGCTGCGACTGGGCTTCCTGTCGACCGTGGTTATATGCCGGAGCGGTGCCTGGAGGGCGGGTGCTGTGGCACACAAGAGGGACATTGCTCAGCGTCACGGGCGCGAGCTGCGACTGGGGCGCTGTATCGCTTGGCTTAATGTCTAGTCCAGTTGAGACAAAGCTTAAGCCAGTGGTGGCTTGACGTGGAAGGGAGAGGACAATGCTCTGCGTCTCATGCGCGAGCTGCGACTGGGCTTCCTGTCTACCATATCTATACGCAAACGTGGCGCCAAAAGGGCGCGTGCTGTGGCACGCAGGGGGGGCATTGCTCAACGTCACGGGCTCGAGCTGCGACTGAGGCGCTGCAGCTGTTGCCTTAGCGGAACAATGGTTCGGGTAGGTTGTGCCACAGTTAGTGCCTATGTGGCCTCCTTGTCGGTATGTGGATGACGGGGCGCGCGTTGCACTGTCCAGTTCAAATGGGACACGGCCTGAAACTGGAGGGGCCTGACAGGCCTGACAGGGAAGGGAGAGGACGTTGCTCAGCGTCTCACGCGCGAGCTGCGACTGGGCTTCCTGTCGGCCTTGAGCGCTCTTGTCGTCTGGACCTGGGTGGACGTTGCTCAGCGTCTCATGCGCGAGCTGCGACCGGGAAGGAAAAAGAGGGCTGAACGCCAGGTCTTGCCGGTTGAGGTGATTGGCATGTTCAGTGTGCACTGTTTGCGGGTGGTTCTGTCGCGTGCTGCATTGTGCCACACGGACGTTGCTCAGCGTCTCAGGCGCGAGCTGCGACAAGGGTATTGTGGCATCTTCCTCAGCGTGACAGTTATTTGGAGGAGGTGCTCCGTTGTTTTTGCCTGCGTTGTTGCAGTGTCGTGCGTTGCAGTCGGAGCGATTTCTTGCGCTGTTCGTGCACACGGATTGGGTGGCACACGGTGTAATGTCCAGTCTGGATGGTGCGTGTCCTGTGCCTAGAGCGGCCTGACATGAAAGGGAGGGGACAATGCTCAGCGTCTCACGCGCGAGCTGCGACTGGGATTCCTGTCGACCAGGGCTACTTGCGGAAGTGTTGCCGAGAGGGACGATGCTCAGCGTCTTGCACGCGAGCTGCGACCGGGATGTATAGTTGTGTCTGGTCCTCAGTGTTTGCAGGCAGTGCAGTCGAGGATCAGCGCAGTCTGTGGGCGTTGGTGCATCGTGTTGTCTTTTCCTGCGTTGCGCAAGAGGGACATTGCTCGGCGTCACGGGCGCGAGCTGCGACTGGGGAGCTGTGACTGCTGCCCTGGCGCGGCAGTAAGCTTCAAAGCTGCCGGCTGTCAGGACAGCAGGCTCTGCATGTTGGTGGGCCTGGCATGCCAAAAACACGGCGCCTTGTGGCCTTGAAACACAGTGGGGGTTCCCGTGGCCTTTTGACTGGCTAGGGTTTATTCTGGTGTTTATGCTGGGGAAACCTAGTCCGTGGTAGTATGTGTCGGGAGCCCGTGTCAGTGGAGGCGGCCTGCCTGCTGGTTGTTTAAACACTGGCGGCCTTAGGTTTATCGACCTGGGGTGACCTGAGGTCGAAGTGTACACGCGTTCAGAAAGACTTTCAAGAGAATGCTCAATGTTTGCCCGGCAAGCCAGATCGCCGGCGCCTTGTGGCAGCTGTCCATTACATTGAGGGCATGGTCTTGAGGGCATCATGTCTGGCGAGTCGTCTGCTCGGCCTGGGATTATCCCTGAGGTTTGGGAACTAGGGAACCTTAAAGGTTGAGGCTCAGGGCGGCTGTGAAACCTACTTGAAAAACTCGTCTTCTCTTGAGTGACAGCGGTAAGCTTGTTCGCTGGGTACCCTTGTTGCTTGTGTGGGATGTTTCTCTTTGGCGGCTCGGCTAAGGCGTAGGCTTTGCCGTGGCAGCTGGGTATCTTACTTATGGGTGGGGCAGTAGCGCAGTAGAAGCTAGTGTCAAGAGCAACAGCAGTGTAGATTCGGGAGGGGGGCCCTGGAAACTTATGTACAAGGGTGAGAGCAACTGTCGTGAACCTGTGTCTGTACAAGGTCTGGGCTTCAGGTTTACCCGGCAGCGTGAGTTGCCCAACCCAATGGCAGTCCGTCAGCTTCCGCGGACAGGCATACCTTGAGGTCGTCCAAATCTTGCAGCTGTTCTCTGCTACGACATGCTTCCTAGCGCATGTGCTTCTGGCGGATCCGGCTCCTCTAGGTCGCCATCGTCGTCGATGAGGTGGATGGGCACTCCAGCTGGGATGGCAAGCTCTTGGGCAACGAGCTCCTTTGCCGCCTGCTGTCTCTTTGCTGCAAGCTTGTCTGTCAGAGTCACGGCTTCGCGTTGGCGTAGCAACTGGGGTGACATGGATGTTGTCTTTGTCGTCTCCTTCACGGATGTTCTTGCCTTCCCTTGGCCTGGGGATGCGCGTCTGGCTGTCGGGCGCACCATATGGTTGATGCTGTCTATGGCTCCTTGGCTGGCACTCGCGGAGAGTACCTGTGTCCCACTGTCCATTGCTGGCTGCACTGACTTGGGAGCATATCCATCTCCCCCTGGAGGTCCTGCTTTGGCCGAAGGAGGTGTCTGATATGGGTCTGTCGTGGCTGCATTGCCAGTGGAGGGCGTGGCTGTTGCTCGCATAGCCGGCTGTGTCTGTCTGGGGGTCATAGCAGCGTTGGATCTTCTTGTCGGGGTCACTGTACCCTGCATGGCTCTTCCAAGCACATCTTGCAGGTAGTCGAGCTGGAGGTCCTCGTCCATGTTCACGTCCTGGAAAAAGTCTTCCGTCTCCAAATCTTGCTGAAGTGGTGTTGGTTGGGATCCCGCTGCGATGGCTCTCACTTTGCTCCTGGCTTCTTCTTGCCGTTGAGTGGCTTCTCGAAGTTCCTGCGCGTTGTTCTCCATGTCCTTGGCGTGTCTGGCCTTCTCTCTTCTGTATGACTCCCGGATGTCTGCTTCGAAGCGAGCCCATTGCTGCATCTTGACTTCTCTGGCTTCTATCAGATGCTTGACCTTGGCCTCTGTTCTCCTGGTAGCGTTCAGGGCCCCTTGCAGGTCCTTTACCAGGGCATTGTCTGCATGGTCTGTTGTGGTGCTGGAGTGCACCACTGTGACAACTGCCCCTTTGCTCTCCTGAATTGGCCTCGCATCGTAGGCGGGGAAACACGATCTCGTTGAGGCCTTGTCTTGTTGTCGTCTCCAGGGTCGCTGTGGAGAAGATTTCCAGGCTCCAGGCCAGTAGGACCAGGCACGTTCTCCACGCCATTGCTTTGACATGACCTGGGCACGGTAATCTGGTCTGCTGTGATGTGCTTGCAGTAGATCGATGTCTCGGGCAGCAGGAGGGAGATGTTCTCGTCTGGCCTTCCGGATTCTCTTTCTCGCCTTGCTTCTGGCTTGCCGTTGTTTGCGGTGCCAGGCTGGGCTACGTCGGCTACGTCGTGTCGTTGTGACACTGGGGCCTACAGCAATCGCTCGCTAATGAGCGTCTTCTGGGCCCTAGGGTTTAGGGTTTAGGGTTTAGGGTTTAGGGTTTAGGGTTTAGGGTTTAGGGTTTATTGTTTAGGGTTTAGGGTTAGGGCTTAGGGTTTGGGGCTCCAGGGGCGAGGGCTCTCAAATTCTTCGCCTTGGCTCCTTTCCGTCAGGGCTCCGACACATCGCACAGCACACGATCAAAACGCAGGGCTTCCCGTGCCTTGGAGTCTTAGCTTTGGGCTTGGGGTTGTGGGTTTGGGGCTGTTAGTGTTTAGGCTTTTTTGTGTCGGGTTTGTTTGGGCTTAGGGTTCATATTTTGTATGTGTAAAATATACAGTAAGAGAGGTCTAGGGTTTAGGGTTGGCTATGGGTTTAAGGGAATAGCTTGCCGGCTCTTGATCGGGAACTTGGTACTTGCTATCCCTATAAGTGAAGGTTTTGGGAGCCTTGGGGTTTGAAGGCGTCTTAGAGGCTTAGGGTTTTTGACAAATGGCCGCTTGGCGGTTTGGGGGGTTTAGGTACCCTAAACCCTAAACCCGAAACCCTAAACCCTAAACGCTAAACCCTAAGCCTAAAACGAGCAAGTCCTAAAACCTCTTCAATCAAAACCCTCCCCACGCCGCCAAAACCAAAAGCGATTTAGGGTTTAGCCTTTCGGGCTTCAGGACTCGAACTCTAAACCCTAAAACCCGAAACCCCTAAACCCCCTAAAGCCTAAAACCCCAAACCTTAAACCCAAAACAGAAGGCCCAACATACCCCCTGAGGCCCCAGCTCCTGATTCTGTCGGGCCTTGGTGCACTCTGAAACCACCCTACACCCTAAACCCTAAACCCTGGACCCTGAACCCTGGACCCTAAACCCTAAACCCTAAACCCTAAACCCTAAACCCTAAACCCTAAACCCTAAACCCTAACAGGCTGCGAGGTGGCAGGTTTGGCAGCCTTTGGGGGAGCTTTTGGGGAGCGTGGGACATCTGGAAAGCTTGAGACGCTTGCAAGTTTGAGGAGCTTCGGGGTTTGAGAAGCTTGGGGTTTAGGGTTTAGGGTTTAGGGTTTAGGGTTTAGGGTTTAGGGTTTAGGGTTTAGGGTTTAGGGTTTAGGGTTTAGGGTTTAGGGTTTAGGGTTTAGGGTTTAGGGCTGAGTTTGGGGTTTTAGAGTGTACGGTTGAGGGCTTAGGGATTTGGGGGGGGGGGGGGGGAGAAAGGTGGCTTCGGGGTATAGCTCAGGCCGAACTGACTCTGCACCTCACTCATGTCCTCCCTGCAGATTTAGGGTTTAGGGTTTAGGGTTTAGGGTTTAGGGTTAAGGGTTTTTGGCGGACAAGCTTGAGCAAGTTAGCGCGCGACAAATTCCAAGCAGAAAAGTGCGCCGCTGCCGTATTGGCTGCGAAAAAGCGACTTTGAGAGGCGGAAGCCTCTTGTTGGTGGATGCGCGGCGACTTAGAAAACGCCTCATGCGTCATCCTGGCGTCAAAAGCGCCCAAAATGGTTGGGGCCCTGCTACTGTGGCGGCAGGCCGCCAGCCGTGCCGGTGCTTCGCAGCCGGTGGCCGGGCCGGAACATCGAGGTCACTATTGGCGTAAACCGTCCGACACCGCCCCTGCTGCTTCAGGTGCTGTTGCAAACGTGAGGAATCCCAGAACTCAACGCAGCACACTTCGCATCGGGTGCCAAAGCACACCTGCGCTGCCTCGGAGCGTTGGCGGTGTTTGTGCCACTGGTGCAAGGCAAGAAGCCGTGCTGTTGCGTAGGAGGCTCCGCAGCGTGCACACATCCATCCATCATCGCTTTGCCCAGGCACACCTGCCTGTGCGATAGGGACGTAAGTTACTTCCGGCGAGTGCGCTTGTCGCAGGCCCTCCCCGTAACTCGCCCTTTTCTGCACCTGTCTGCGCGGGTAGGCGCGCACTAGGCGTTGGAGATGGGGCTTGTGCGTGCGGATAGCACGGAGCAGGTCGTGCACGCAGTGCGCCTGAAGCCTGTCACGGAGTCCATTATCTTCTCCCGGCCTCAGCGTGGCCATGAGAGCCTCTCGCGCCTGCGCAAGCCAGACCCCATCTGAGGCGGCCGCCTCCCAGACGGCGGTCTCTTGGATGCCTGAGGCTTCGACCAGGGCCCTGGCCCGCTCCGTAGTCAAAAGCTCCGCGGGAGTGGGGAGGTCGAGCATAGCGGCAGCGTGCTCGACTGTATAGCCCTGCTGGCTGATGCCCAAAATGGGCCTCAGCGCCCCCCGTATGATCATCGTGAGGGGCTCAAGGGCTGCGTCACGTTCGTGCACCGTGGCCAGGCGCCACAGACCGGCACCATGCAAGTATCGTGAGAAGACGCGCTCTTGCAGGAGGCGTTTCTTCTCCGAGGGCGTGACATACGGGTTGGTGAAGATGCGCCTTTTCACAGGCTGCCAGATTTGTTGAAGCAACTCCCGGCGATGTTGCAGGTTGGGATATTCATGGCAGTCTGCGCTGAGGATGGTGCCGAGATGGCAGTACGACTCAACCACCCTGACATGGAGTGTCCTCCCGCTTGCAGTGCGTGTCGTGACACAAGGGACATCAGTACACAGGACATCGCGCCTGACCTGCGCCGATCCGGGGCCTCTAATGGCCACGATGGCCTCGGTCTTGCCCGGCCCGTAGTTAAATTTGAGTCCGATGCCTTGAACAAGCTCCTCGGCTAGCCTAGCAACCTCTGCCAAAGCATGCGGGGCAGCCTGTGCATCGGCGGCCCCAAAAAGAACCGCAACATCGTCGGCCCAGGTCGGGCTGCTGGCCAGGCCCTGGGACGCGTCACCTGACTCCTTAGGACTAAGATAGACAAAGGCATCAAGGCCGGCATCATTGATGGCTTTTTGCAGGCTTGTCAGAAAGGGGGAAAACAGGATCCCGAAGAGAGTATCGGCAATCGGTGATCCTGGTGACGTGCCACTGTGGGTCTGCCAGGCGTGACGCCCCTCCCTGTCAGTGGTGAACCAGGTGCTCCCGAAAAGCCCCTCGATGTACCGCCTGAGCTCAAGCGGGACTGTTGGTTTCCCGAGGATGGGGCCCTGTGACATTTTAAGCGCGAAAGCCGCTTGCTCCTCTTCTGAACTGAAAAGCTCGGCAGCCCTGGTCCTAACCCAACCCGGTGTGTCGTAGGTGCCAGGGGGGGCAACAAGGATTTCTCGCGCGACTGAATAGTAGGCTGCGGTGCAG